GTTGGTTGGCTGGTTGGTTGGTTGGTTGGATGGTTGTTGTTGGTTGTTGGGTTTGTTGGAGTAGTTGTTGCTGCTGCTGTTGTTGTTGTTGCTGTTGTTGTTGAATATTATTACTTCTAAAGAAATATTATTGTTGAGACCCCTGGTGCGCGACCCCCCTCCAAAACCTAGGCCGCAGCCTCATTTCCTTGATTTTCTAGCGAAAGCTTCAGAAAAGTGGATTGTGTCCGGATCCGGTTGTTTTGTTGTAATCCGTTTTCCCTTGCAAAAAACACTATAAAATGAAAATTCTTGTTCTTACTTGATCAAATTGCAAGAATCCCTTGCAAAAAATAAGGTAAAGTGGACATTCGTGCGCGCAAGACGAAATCCTTCCAAAACCTTAGGTTTCGTAACGATTTTAACATAAAAACATCAAAAACCCAATGGTTTTTTAAGAAAAAATTGTCAAAATGTCCTTCCGCGCGCGCTGTCCGAATCCCACAAAACCAATGGTTTTTCAACATTTATGTTACATGAGCTCGCGCGAGCTACTTTTTCTTGTTCTAACATAATCAAATTTCAATAATCCCTTGCAAAAAATAAGGTAAAGTGGACATTCGCGCGCGCAAGACGAAATCCTTCCAGAACCTTAGGTTTCGTAACGATTTCAACATAAAAACATCAAAAACCCAATGGTTTTTCAAAAAAAAATGTCCAAATTTCATCCCGCGCGCGCTGTCCGACTCCCACAAAACCAATGGTTTTTCAACATTTATGTTACATGAGCTCGCGCGAGCTACTTTTTCTTGTTCTAACATAATCAAATTTCAATACTCCCTTGCAAAAAAAAGTAAAGTGGACATTCGCGCGCGCAAGACCAACAAAAAACACGACGATCTCAGGAACTTGCCCCAAAAATGTGACCAACTCCGCTCTCTCTGTCTCTCTCTCTGTCTGCTCTCTGTCTCTCTCTCTGTCTGTCTGTGTCATGTATTGTATGTCACAATTGCAGGATGCTGGGCACACGCGCGCCCCGAATAAGTGACCAAGTTCTGTGGGTGTGTACCCCACGCCAGTGTAGTAGCCACGGTCGTCCGCACGCCACGAAGTGAAGTGTCCCAACGTCATAGGGCGGGAAGCTGGGTTTGGGTGGTCGCGAAGAGTCGTTTGGATATTTGGTAGAGCTTGAACTGCCCCCCCACGAAGTGGGGGTATTGTCTCGCGTCGCATGAAAACCCTGGCACTGGTGAGAACACTGAGCGTTCGGGTAAAATGATTGTTGTTGTTGTTGTGGTTGTTGCTGTTGTTCTTATTGTTGTTGTTGTTGTTGTTGCTGCTGCTGCTGTGATTGTTGCTGTTGTTGTTGTGGTTGTTGTTGTTGTTGTTGCTGCTTCTGCTGCTGTTGTTGTCGTTGACCCCCCTCCGGTGACCATTGCGTTTTTTTTTCAGTTGAAGTGCTTTACCAGGGGCTCGCACCCCGTTTTTATCAGGGGAAATCACTCGGGTCAAACTGTGCCGTTAGCCTTTGGATTACAGCAACAACGGCGCCCGCCTGAGACTTCCTCACAATTTAGCCAGGACCCCCGCTCCCGCCTGAGACTTCCTCGCATTTTACTCGGGAATCGCGCTCTCGCTTGTCACTTCCTTACAATCTATGCAGGAAGCGCTTTCTCGGCGCTCTGGAGTCGCGCTCTCGTTGGACACTTGTTTGAGATTTATAGAATAATCGCGCCCTTGCGTTAGATCTCATCGCAATTTACTCAAGCGCCGCGCTCCCAGCATTCAGGCACCCAGGAGTCGCGCTCACGCTTAGAACTCTCCAACAGCTTACTTAGGAATCGGGACTTCGCTGCCCTTTGTGGCCCCGTTGCAGCCCTTTTACGGCCCCCTCGCTGCCATTCGCGGCCCCATTGCAGCCCTTCGTGGCCTTTTCGCTGCTTCGTGGCCCCGTTGGAACCCTTCGTGGCCCCCTTGCTGCCCTTCGTGGCCACGTCCCTCGCTTCCCTTCGTGGCCCCGTTGGAGTTTTTCGTGCCCCCCCTCGCAGCCCTTCGTGGCTCCGTTGCAGCCCTTCGTGGCCACCTCGCTGCCCTTCGTGGCCCCCTCGCTGCCATTCGTGGCCCCCTCGCTGCCATTCGTGGCCCCATATATGTATGCCCTTCGTGGCCCCCGCTCGTTCGCGCCCGTCGTGGCCCCATAAGCATGCGCTTCGTGGCCCCGTTGCACCCCTTCGTGGCCCCCTCGCTGCCCTTCGTGGCCCCGTTGCTGCCCTCAGTGGCCCCGTCCTTGCCCTCTGCGGTCAATATACGTATGCCCTTGGTGGCCCCCGCTCGCACGCGCCCGTCGTGGCCCCATACACATGCCCTTCGTAGCCCCGCTGTCGCCCTTCGTGGCTCCCTCGCTGCCCTTCGTGGTCCCTTCGCTGCCCTCAGTGGCCCCGCTGTCGCCCTTTGTGACCCCGTATACAATGCCCTTCGTGGCCCCCGCTCGTTCGCGCCCTTTGTGGCTCCATACGCATTC